CATGACTTGAATGAGTCATATACACAAAGCCCATGACTCATAATAGAGTTATGTGTGAAACATAACAAATCATAAAATAAATAGGTCATATAACTCGAGTGAGTCCTATGCGCAAGATCCATGACTCATAATCAAGTCATGTATGAAACATAACAAATCATAACATAAATAAATCATGTAACTCGAGTGAGTCATATGCATGAAACCCATGACTTATAATCAAGTCATGTGTAAAACACAACAAATTACGATATAAATAAGTCAAATAACTCAGGTGAGTCATATGCACAAGACCCATGACTCATAATCGTGTCATCTGCAAAATCCTGTCACATCCAGGATACTACTTTAACAATCTCTTTGGGCTTAAATGGCTTCACCATTTCGATTGGTTTTCTGCACAGCACCAGGTTAGTACCTACCACCTCTCACTTCTTAACGGACATGGATTGCACTGCACTCATGAATTTATCACCTTCTGTAATGAGAGGAAAATTATTCCCTTTTACCTACCTATGCATACCACTCACCTTATTCAACCCCTCGATATTGTTATCTTTCAGTGTTTATAGCATTATCATATGGAGGCTATTGATGATGCTCTACTAATACGGTATTCAGATTTCAATAAAATTGAATTCTTATCAGTCTTAACTTCTATTTATGATCAAGCTTTTTAAAAGACTACTATCTGTTCTGCCTTCAGGAAAATAGACCGAAGACCATACAATTCTGAAGTTTTATTATCCTGCCTTCTGTAACGATCCCTCCTTGGATGGTTAGGTTTTAGCCACGGGGAACGATACTTGTCTTTTTCTTTTTCTTCTCTTCTTTGTCTTAGGATAGCACTAGGCCTCTGCCTTCGTTACCAATAGTACAAGACCTCTGTCTTCTATCGAGAACACCTATCGTAAGCTTTCTCTAACTCTTCTTCATAAAGAACTTTCCTTGGCATAGTGATAAGGTTGCAATAAAGATAAAGATCGTAAAGGTGTTTTATATTCATTAAAGTAAGAAGTAGGAAAAGTACTTAGAACAAAGTGTGAAGAACCTATCCTCTTCGGTCGCATCGGCCTCCTTATATAGTGTTCTTCCAGCCTGTAGTCATGTGACCCAAAGTGGTCACATGTGTGAAATCAAATCATAACAAACTAGTCATGTGACCAAGGTTGTCACATGCTCAAAAACCCTGACCTCATAACGAGGTCATATGCAAAACTCATAAACCAATCATAACGCAATAAACAAGTTATATGACTCGACTGAGTCATATGCGTGAAATCCTTGACCTTATAATGCGATCATGTGCAAAACACAAATCATATGCGCCAGACCTACCTACAAGGTACACTCGCAAGACATACTCACCAGGCGTACTCCCATGACTCATATTTGAGCCATGTACGAAAGCATCACAAATCCCACACATAACAAATCATCTGACTTGAATGAGTCATATGTGTGAAACAATAACATACCTGTGACTCATAACTATGTGTCACATGAAAACCTTTTTCTCGCCAAGCCATATTCGTGACACCTTCCTGAGTATTTGTTAGGAATACTGGGATCTAATACCTAGAAACTACCGTAAATAGGGTAACCCCACTCAGAATCGGAATCTCTGATCTCTAACACCCTCCTTCAGCCCTCTTACTAGACCCACACATCATCATACATATCTATTTTAGTTATGTCCTGTCACTTTATGGTTACAGAATTGAAGGAGATAAATAATACCATATACATCACTACCATCTGTCCAACTGGATCCTGTTCGCAGGTTCTATATAAGGGGACCTTCAGCAAGGTTTGAGAAGTAGAATGGAGTAAATCTGTCAACTATTTAGAGTGTTACTAGGCTTCAAAAATATGGCATCTTTGGTATAAGCCATAAGCATTGGGACGTTTTTGTGTAAAGATCTGGTAGCAAATGTTAAAGGATCTCAACGAGAAATCAATACATTTGCACCTACTTAACAATAATTAGAAGAGTCTAAAACTCTGAGCAATACTACCATGAAAGTCAATAGACTTCACAGAGTATTACAACTGGGTCCAGGAATGTTTTATGATTGCAGAAATAGCTCCCAATTCTAGAACTGTGATTGAAATCCTGTTACTCGGAGCAATTAAGTGTTGTCAGCAGAGGGATTATCTGTCAATCTAGCATAATAACTTCTTGTGAATTAGTAGGAAGTCATTCAGAAGATATCTGTTGATTGAATAGAGAGTTATGAGAGTTTGAAGTTAGGCAACCTATGAAAATTGCAATTACGACTACCTCCGCAAATACAATGCACAGATGAAACTGATCATTTCATTAATAATGAAAACAATTGAGGCCAACTCAGTTCAAGTTGAGAACTGGGCTATAAGTTTAAAGACTCTGATGATAGGATAATTACTATTGGGAACAGTATAGTTCCTAGTTGGCAATATTGGAATTACTGAAGACGGTTTGGTGATTTTCAGGGTCTTTAGGTATTTGCACCTTTGAAGAATACCCGACATTGCAAGTTATAATCAGAGAGATACATAGTTGTATAATAGATAGAAGTAGTCCATGAAAACTCAGACATAGAATATAAATATTGAAGTGCCTCCCAAGTTCTAGACATCATCAAGCAAAGGAGAAGAGACCTTAATAATATAATATTATTCTCAAGATTCCATTCTACTTTACCTATATTACTTTACTCTTAGTAGTCATAAACGAAACAAGTGTAATTTAAGCCTTCCTAGACAGTCTTCATCTACAGAAACGAATCTTGGTTGGCCTTGACCACTCTGAGTCTATACAGGTTGTCTCCGCCTAACAGTATTATTCAACCTAACAGACTCAACAGCCCACTACACCTCCCCAAAGTCTCAAGCCCTGCATCTCCACTCCCTTGACCATCCGATCCCTTCAAAGACAAGCTGAATACCTCGAAAATGTTGATCCTGTATCTCCTACGTTCAGGGTCAACTTCATATACTTTGTTAAGGGAAGCCTTGGACAAGCTCACCTTGGCGCACGGTGTTCACAACAACTTGCCGACACCCAAGCAGCAGAGCAAGTCCACGCAAACAGACAAAACTATACCAGGAGATATGTTCAAACGGGGGGTCATCTATGCCGGCGTGGCAAGAGTTATTGCACGTAAAAAAGAGGAGGATACTGCGCAGAAAAAAGTAGAGAAGGCCGAGAGGCAACTGGAAAAGGTAAAAAAAGATGCGATTTGTGAGCGGAAAAAAGTATGGAAACTGATTTTTCAAGAGCTTAAACTGTCTACTCCTAAGCGGAGATGATATTTGACAGATATCTTATGATGAGATATTGTATATTTCGTTCGGTCAATTTCTAAAATCTGACGTTGAGCCAAATCTGACGTTGAGCCGTTGGACACTTTATAGACGTGCTGTGAAATTTGAACCGCTTGCGTGTTACACAATTTCGGCCGGAACCTTGGCACGGTTACCAGTAGTGACTTATCAGACAAGTTGATGCCAATAGATACATCCGTCACATGCCCTCTCCAGTGCCACAAGGAGGTTCTTTCTTATCAGGCTTCACATGATGGATCTGGACTACCTAAAGTGACCAGACAAATGCGTTGGTGATGGGCCACCCTTACCTTTACCTTTACACCAAAAATCGTGCGTTTTAGCCAGGCCCTGATGCTAAGGTCCTGTCTGGACGTCCAGGGATTTCTCCGAAATCCATGAGATTCGGGATCCACGGATTCCAGAACGGAAATCGAGAGATGGGAAGGTCTGGGATTTTATTAGTGATGGCCATCAGGCGGAAAATTTTGTGGACGGTAGGCTTAAAGTGGGATGTGTTGCATGCAACTGAAGACTTAAATCCCGATGAGAGGTATGGTGTTGCACTTGCTTCGTGTGATCTCTGGTGAAAACTTGAATCTCAGAGGCAGCGGGGATGCAACAGGGATTACATTCTCGGAACAATCGACATCCAAACAGTGCCCAAACCTACACGGAGAGCTTTCAGAAAAACCATCCAAGTATCATAGTTATATATGGGTGTGAATATTATTACCCCCCAATTATTCACAGAGTCTCCTGACACTTCCCTGTTGTGTTTCAACCTATCAGTGATTGGAACGTTGCTGTGCAGGGTTGCTGGGGCAATTATCTTGGAGCGATGGCAGAACTTTACCAGCATGTATAGCAGTGAGTTTAGCTGTTCACGGGCCTTCCTCTTCAAATTAATCAGGGGATATGTTGCAGATATAAGGGCTTTAAACCAGCTGCTAGGAATTCGGGGGGGAATCAACAACACTTATTGTCTAGTCCCTTTACGGTATCGGCCGACAAAAGGGTCCAACGGCCACAACCACATGGTCGCCGGCGTCTCAGCCCTATAGTAAGCCTTTACAAGTACGATACGTTGCCGTAGTTCGGGCAAATCGTTTTCTTCTCCCCTTTTTCAGAGTGACGTCAGTGGGCAACATTCGCTTCAAGCTGTCTCAGTGTAGTCTAACCTTTAATCTAATCCGATGCGAACTCATCCGAGAGTGCTCACGGGACCATAAAATGTCGTTTGTAATCCATTTATTATCCCATGGATTTTAACCCCGCCGGAACCTTTAACCTCCGAGCTCTGAGACAGAAACCCCTAAGAAGGATTAGTGTTTTCCCTGCACGGTAAGAGCCCGAGAAGTGCCGAGCTAGGATAATTTACGATGATGTTATTATTATTAAGAGAGTGGCGAGTTCGTGTTGGACCTCCTTAAATTTAACTACATGTAGTATTGTATCCGCAGTTCTGTATTGTACGAGTACTGTACGAGTACGTAAAACCAGTCATACCAAACCTATCGTGGGATGATGCCGTGATTCCCGCTGACAACTTTGTCCCAGGCAACAATGACTCGATACCCGGAAACAGGGATTGGCAAAATATAGTAAACGCATAGAAGTTTACGAGTAATTTACAGTACCCCGGCCGAGTATTCCCCTGCTCTATGATACAGTCGGTACGCCATGCCCGGGTTGCCAGGACAAATAAATTTAAAGCATTTCCAGGGTCCAGAGTCCACCAGCTCGCCAATTTTTCCAATGTGCCGGTATCCGACAAGTTCCCTCCATGCCAAGAAGCGCCAAAGCGTTGATCCTTGGCGTTAATGTGTTCAGATCTTTGGAATTTGAGACCACCGCTATGACTGGATTGGCTGGTGAGCTTATTATTACTTGTACTGTACAAGTATATGCCGCTCCATGCAAACTGTCGGTGCTTATGGTCGCCCGTCGTTCCGGGGCGCGGGGCCGCCATTCGTTTGTCGGTGGAGGATTATTCCGCCGATGGGAAGGGGAGGTTGATGGGTTATATATGTGCGGCATCTCCCCCCCCCTTCCTTTCCTTTTCTCCTTTACTTTTGTGTATATAGAAAGGACGGTGGATTACTCATACCGTGCAGAACCAGAGCCGAGTAAAGGGATTGGGCCGAGACCAAGTGGAGACGGATCATCTGCTGTATCTTTGAAAGTGAAGCGAGTAAGGGGAGTGGGGTGGTACAACATTTTGTGGGGGAAAAAAAAGAAAGAAAAAATCTCCCCCCATTTTTATTATTTTTTATTTCCGTTTTAGTGTACAGCTTGAGATATGTCCGGACAGCAGGGACAGGCAATGGTATTACTTTTTCATTCATTGCTTTCATTCTTTTCCCTTTTTGGTCTCATTGTTCGGGTGAGAGAAACGAGCGGGATACTGACAATGAGTGATTCCGATTCCACCAGCCCTCGGGACCCCCGTACCTTCCAAAGTCAGCAGGTTACGGCGGTAGGCCAAACAAGAGCATAGATATCCCTATTTCTTCCGTATTCATCGCCATATTCCTCATCCTCGGTGTCGCGCACATGAGGCTGTTCAAGATCAATCGAAGCAGAGGCCACCTCTTCGTGTTCAGCGCCGTCACTTTTGGCTTCTGTATGTCTAGGATTGTTACATTTTCCATGCGCATAGGTACGGATACACACTCGCTTGCTTGTTTACTGCCTTTTTTGGGCCGACTTGTCCGTCCACTAACAAGAACGGTGGTATGATAGCTTGGGCGGCGCATCCGAGGAATTTGCAGGTTGCTATCGCCGCAAGTGTGTTTATCGCTGCGGGTGTGGTGCTACTATTTGTCGTCAATCTGAATTTTACCCAGCGGTTGTTGAGAGCGTACCATCCAGGACTCGTGGGGAATAGATTGTTCGACCGGGCCTTTTTGGCGTACTATGTCTCTGTCGTGCTGGTGTTGGTAATGGGTACTTCCTCCTCGCCTAGGTACATATATGCTGGAAGAGGCTGGATGCTGATAAGTGGTTCCAAGTCATTACCACAACTGTCCAATCTTTTAACACCCTGAGCACTCACACGCTAAATATCGACTTGAGTAAGAAGATCCTGGGGCCGCGCTACTTGTTTCAGGGCTAACGCTGATCACCACGGAAAGGTATCCGCAAGTTCGGGATCATCTACTTTGCCGTTTTTGCCTTTGCCCCGATACCAATGCTTCTGATCGGAAACCTCATCCCTTCCAGCACTCCGCGTCAGAACTTTGGAAAGAGGGGAGACCTAACGGAGAAAACCTTGATCGTCATCCTCGCTTCCGCAATTCTCAGTGCTTTCCCCCCTTCCCTGCCACTTTCATGCTTTAGATAACGCCCTGTGATGCTTGTGCTGACTGAAACAGCATTATCCACCGCCTTCCGCGCAGCAACATTCTTCATGCCCCGACCACCTACAGATCCAGGTTGGTTCAATAGCCGCGCGTCATTCTATGTGTTCACACCATTATTGGAGGTGGTTGTTGTCATCCTGTACATTGTCGCAGGGGTTGACCAGAAGTTCCATGTTGAGGGGAAGTTTGAGCAAAAATGGGCAGCCGAGTCCGGAGAGAAGAATGTGGAGACGGACGAAAAGGCCTAGTGTTTGATGGCTTTCCCGTGATGCAGTGGATACCGTTTTTGCTTCCTTTTATGAGGGTGAGCGAGAGCTCTCCTCTTGTTTCATATCCGAGTAGAGATTTTTGGGGCGGATAACCCACTACGCATAAGCATATATATATGGTTGATTATAATAAAAATCATTGAGCTCTATAACCCAGTGCGAGTATTATAACATGAAACACCGTGTCCCACCGGAGTCGGGGGGATGGCATCCATGACCCAGTTTCGGGGCGTTCTTCGAGCACTTGGGGCAGCGCCCGCTATCAGCCCGAGTACCGCGCCGCACGGCACAAGCTGGTAAAAGTAAATTCGGGAGGATTTTGTTGATACTTCACTCCAGACCGTTTGGAATGCCATTAATTCCTTCATGAAGGCTTCTCGGTCTGATAACATCCCAGATCCCTTCGGCCACGGGTTTCTGTATTGACCGCCCCCGTTACTAGCGGTCTGGATACCACCGCCAGGGGATTCCTGGCAAGGAAAGCCAATGATAGATACAGGAAATACCCCGAGAGATGGCTGCAAGCCCTAAGCAAATCATCGCTAGGGTTAGAAAACCTCTCTCAGGGCAATCCACAGGTCCCTAGACCAGATATCAGTAGGCCTAAATTGAGTGTTGTGCCACCAGACCGCCCTGATCGGGTGGAGCACTGTACCCGAGTATGATATTTGCCGGAAAGGAAGGAACTACCTGGGAAAGATGAGGTGTAGCGATCCACCAGGAAGGAACATTCATGTGGCGCTGGTTCTCCCAATGCGATTGGGAAACGCCGTTAAACCACAGATGCCTCCGGTAGGTTGGCCTTTACCGAGCGTATCAGGGCCGCACCGTTCGTGACGGTTTTTCCTTTCTTTTCTTTTCGCCCAATGTAGGCTAAGAAGTGTATCGTACTCGAGTAGCGAGGAACCCCGCATAAATATGCCGAGAGGCAATGGTTAGGACATCCGGTAGCCTATATGTAGTCTGAAAGTGCAAGCTAGGAGATTTTCCCGGGAGTGGACTTTTGCAGTTCCCCCCTCTTGGGGAAAAAGGAGTCGGTGGTAGATGAGGTTTATGGTTAAGTTTCGGAACGACTGATTCAGAAATAAGCTTTAGAGGCGTCAACAGGTTTCTCGCTTGAATATCCCACGCGGTAGGGTAGGGTGAATCAAGGTAGGGATTTCACCGACGTCACTTTGAGAGGGGGACATGTGCCCTATGGGCACGAGCATTTGTTGTGCATGTTTGAGGCAAAAACCAGGGTCAATCTCTCGGGACCGACCGGTAGAGGTTGCAGAACAGATAGTGATTGTATCACATTCAGAGGTGAGACCCTTGGAGTCTCCACCCTCCCCTCCCCTCCCCTCCCTCCAACCCTCACTGGGGTGCTCAGTACCAGGGAACATTTCGCTAGCAATTTGGGCGATCTTTGATGTTAACCAAACGATTTTGTATGAATAGCGTGAGATATCTCGCACGATGCGCGTAAACTGTGCTCGAGTATACTGGTGGCTTGGAAACGCTCCAATGTTCATGTTCCTCACTCTTCCCATCCTCCATACAGCCGCCACCCTTCAAAATCACCGCTCTGTTAGAGAGCAGCAGAGCAGAGCATGCTATGTTTCGCTTCAATCATTAGTACAATCTATCCCCAGACCACTCTAATGCCCGAAATCCATCAACCATCAGATATCAGCCAACCCCGCTTGAGATCTTGTAAACTTGACTAGTATTCCTGCCAGTAACAGTAGTGTAATCAATGTTTACAGTGAGATAGAAGCCCCGGTTTGTGACCACTGGAGCTCATCTAAGACCGTCAGTGCTCCAGAGAAACCCTTAGTTACTGATAGGCGCTGTGAAAGGTCACCGACTATCATCTGTAGACCTCCGACATAGATAAGCTGAGGGAAATCCTGACGACAGGGCTCTCTCCTGCGTCGAGAGATCTTATACCAGGAGCTCACTGTACTTGGGAGCGCCCTCGCCTCGAGATAAGACATACCGATACTTGTATTTATCATCGCCTTGGAGGGGGGGGGGCTTAGAATAGGCTAAAAACCATTTGGGCTGTTGCCAACCTCCGATGTTATATCATACCGGTAGTTAGTGCCAGGGTTTATCCTTAGCGTTTGCTTCTCGAGGGTTGAGACATTGTGAGCTGGGTAGGTTGTGACCCTTGGAACTCGTGTTTTCCACAGGAGATAACTTTGTTTGCGAGGTTTCTTTTTTTCCGTCAGGATTAAGGGAGCAGTGAGGAAACATTTGGATCGGCGCATCCAATAACGCTATGATTTTTGTTTGCGGGGGTCCTGGAGAAGCAGCCCTTCCCAGGTGCTATTTACGGGAGCGAGGCTGGGTCCAACTGTTGAATTATTTATTTATGGAGCAAACTTACCTACCGGTAGGCAGTAAACCCACCGTGGAGCATCGCGTGAGCTGACTTTACTCATATCGTCTGAATGCAGTACCTTACGGTTCAAGGACCAGGGATATGATACTCAAAGTTAAAATGATATTTTTCTCTTACTTTTCAGCAGCGAGTGAATCCTGGAACTTGCATTGGTTTACTTCACAGAACCGGTCAACAATACCTGCGCCCTCAATGGTAAGTTAACTCGAAGTAAGGATTGGATAAGAAGTTGTGACAGTTGGGGGCATCGGATCTTGCAATTCATCGAAAGAAGCACAAAACTAAGTGCTCCCGGTAAAGATAAGCAAAGCTGTATCCATCTGCCGGGT